CTGCGAGCAAAATTAGCTTGATTTACACTTATTAACGACAGGTTGTATAAGAAAGGCTACAATTCCCTGCTCTTGTGATATGTAGATCATAAGGATGCGAAGTATATCTTGAAGGAAATCCACGAGGGTATCTATGGAAACCACGCTGGGGGCCAATCTTTGGCATACAAGGTACTCTGCCAAGGGTACTATTAGCTGACAGTCTTTGATGATGCGGTTTACTTTGTGCGAAAATGTGGTAAGTGTCAGAGATTTGTAAATATTCTGCGAGCTCTACCCCAAGAGTTGACTACCCTAACAAGCCTGTGGCCATTTGTAATTTGAGGAATTGATCTAATAGGCCCTCTGCTTCAGGGAAAATGAGTTGTCAAGTTCGCAGTGGTCACGGTCGATTACTTCACCAAGTGGCAGAAATTAAGCATTTGGCGACCATAACTTCGAACAAGCTAAAGGATTTCCTCTACAAAAATATCATTTGTAGGTTCCAATCCCACATACCATCATAACTGATAATGGAAAATAGTTCGATTGTGAAGACTTCCAATTGTTTTGTTAAAGGCTTGGCATCAAGAAAAACATCTTTGCTGTCGACTGACCTCAAGCTAACGGTCAAGTAAAAGCAGTTAATAAGGTGATCAAGCACACCTTTAAGAAAAAACTTGATTCCCTTAAGGGAAGATGGGTAAACGAGCAACCTGAGGCTTTATGGTCATACAAAACTTTAGCTAGAAGCTCGACAGGAGAGACCCCATTCTCGCTCTTTTATGGATACGAGGCGATAGCCTCAGTTGAAGTTGGGGTCAGCTCGTTTCAGCAAGAGGTCTTTGAAAAAGATTCAAACGAGGATCTTCTTCGTTTGAAGTTAGACTTGATCGAGGAACATCAAGGTAAGTCTCAGCTAAGAGTTGCCTCGCACCAACAGCGAGTGAAGAGATACCTTAACTCAAAACTCAAGAATCGAGACTTCGGGATAGGTGACCTAGTTATAAGAAAGATCATCCCTGGTGTACAGAATGCAAACTTGGGGGCACTTGGGCCCAAATGGGAAAGTTATTTCAGGATCTCAGAAAAGCTCGCATTGGGAACCTTTCACTTGGAATTCCTTAATGGCGAAGCAGTTTTGCGAACATGAAACATCAAGCATTTACAAAGATACTATCAGTAAACAGCTCAGGTCCAGTATTGTTACTCTATTATTATCAGTAATGTAAGGTCTCTCATGACTAATTTTTTGTTATCAATAAAGAGATATATTCATAATCTTTCCTGTTTATTTTTTATTTTTAAGATCGCGACCTAAGCGATAAACCCTAAAAAACTTGGAGTCAAGAGCTCGAAAAAAGGCAGCTTAACTATATAAGCAACACCATAATTTGAACTCATCAAGGAAAAAATTCCATGACACGATGAGGTTAAAAGTCAAAAAACACTCGAGTAAAACATGTCAAGAGAAAGCCGATCATAACTTGATGACCAAATCACGAGACAGGCGACCAACCCTAACTCGGTGTTGTCACAAGAAAGACTTTCTTGATTGTTTGAAAAGCTCTTAAAGAAGTGAACTACGCATAATTTGGAGCAAATTCAAATTATTAGACTAAGTTTAGTTAGAGCAATTAAAATGACTCCACAGTAATAAAAAAACATTGCTCGACAAGAGAATGGGAAAAATTCAGCTTCATTGATTGTTTAATTTTTCAATTAAAAATAAAAATAAAAAATAAAGACAAAAAACGAGCAGCTTATAGTGCAGGAGCTTGAGTGTCTTGGGAGCTGGAGATAGAAGAGTGTCCTTTGATGACTCACCTAGAGGAGGAACGCTGATAGAAGCTAAAGGTTGAATTGGCAAGGTCGGGTCCTCAACCTCATGTTTGACCTTGGCCTTTTCTTTTTCACTTTCTTTGTCGCCTTCGCTCTCATCTGACTCGAAGCTATCTGAATAAACAGACTCCATGTCCCCTGCCCCAACCTTAATCCTCTCTATCTCCTTTTGATATATTGCAAGGAGAAATGAGAAGTCTAGCGAAAGATGAGCCTCCCATAGGTGTTGGACCAAGTAGACTGATGTCTCCCAAGCATGGTCCTAACTTCTTCCTTTAGCTCGTTAATCTCCCTCTTGAGGTTAGCAGCGTCCGCCTCGGCCACCTTGCAGTTCTCCTCTTCGATGAAGAGGTGAGCTAACACATTTGAGAAGTTGGCCTCCAAGTCCAATTTGGCTTGTTAAGTCTTTGCAAGCTCGGAAGCCAACTTATTATTGACACCCCGCTGTTGTGCCAGGTCCTTGTCTGCCAACGTTTTGGTGGCCTCGATCTAAGAGTTTGTTGAGAAACTCTCTCTTTGCCAGCAAGGACCTCAACGTGTTCGTTCTTCAACAAGTCAAGCTCAACTCACAACGAACCATTATCTTGCTTCATCTCCTTGGCCCTTGCCAAGGCCTCTTCCCTAACTTTCTCCACTCCCTCCTAGCCTTGATGCGAGCCTTCCAAGGTCGTATAGCCCCCATCATAGAGGAGCTCGGTTGTCGTGTGTAACGCCCCACTTGAGGTACGTAGCTAACGTTTCTTCTTTTACTCTTATTTGAGTCGGTTTATTAGTATTATTGTTGGTTGGCCTTTGATTGAGTGGTATGTTGAATATTTGCCTAGAAATTGGTTGAAAATAGAGGAAGTTTTGTGTTCCAGGCTTCGCTGGGGCGAAGAAGAATCTTCGCCGCGGCGAAGAGGTGTTAAAGCCACGGGAAAGCTACTGGACAGTTTCGTTGCGGTGACAGAAGTTTCTTCGCCACGGCGATGTGCCGACCAAATTGTTTGTTAAGTTTTAGATATTTTCTTCCCTAGGGGCAATTTGACCATTCTACCCCTAATTAGTAGAGAAAGTGGGGAGTAAAATGTAAGAAATTTTCATGGAGAATATGTTAATATGGGGGTGTGTTTGTAATGAATCAAAGGACATAGATGGAATTTCCAAGGAAGAGTAAGGGCAAAATGGGAATGCTTGTGTATAAATTGTATTAAAAGGAATTAAGTCATTGCAAACCCTTCATTCTTCTTCTCCACCGCCACTCTCATTTTCTCACTTCCTCTCAATTTCTCTTTCATTTGTTAAAGAATTTTTAGAGGGCTTTTGGAGTGATTTGGGGTAGAAAATCAATCTAAGACATCTTAAGGTAAGGATTCTTGCTTTGGATGTAAAGTTTTGTAAGATTTTGTGTATATTTGATTATTCAGGTCTTTTGGTTTAATTGTTGAATTGTTTAAAGGGTAGAGAAAAATCAAGCAAACCAAGAGAAAGGAAGTGCTAGAGAGATCTCTCAATCACAAGGTAAGTAAATCCCAACCCAAGTTGAGATTTGAGAATTCTCTTGAGTAGAGATTTCTTTATGCATGTATAATTGATGCTTGTTGAGAAATTGAGTAGAGATATGTGTTTGTTTGTTGAGAAATTGAGTTGAGAAGAGTATTCATGTTATGTTGTTGGATATATTTCCTTTATGGAAGTGTTGATGTGTGATGAGTTTGAGATGAAGATAGATGAAATTGAGTTTGTCTTTTGGGAGTGTTCTTCTATGGTAGGGATTATGCTCATGGAAGGGAATTTACTTCCAATTTTGGATGGTTAAAGAGAGAAATAGGATTGCAGTTAGAGAAGAGTTTTTATATGCACATGAGTTGTTTGAAGAAATGCCTAAGAGAAGCATGAGAATGAATTATGAACCTTAATTATTGCAACATTGCATATTGGCATTTCCTAAGTGCATTAATGAGCATGAACCATCCATATGCATTAATTGACTTAAGGAAGAGTAGAAAACTTTGTGTATGCACTTGCTCTATGAGTAGAGAACTTTGTGAATGCAACTACTATAAGGGTAGAGAGAATGAGAAGTGCTAAAGTAGAGTGAATGAGAAGGTTATTAGAAACGGGTTGATGCTTTGTGATCATCACCCGATAGTTATTAGAAACGGATTGATGCTTTGTGATCGTCACCCGAAAGTTACGAGAAACGGGTAGGTGCTTTGTGATCTCCATCCGATAGTTATGGAAACCGGATAGGTGCTTTGTGATCCCCACTCGGTAGTCATTAAGAGCAGGTTGGTGCTGTGTGAACTCCACCCGACAGTCATGAAGAGTGAGATGGCGCTGTGTGAACGCCATCCGGCCGTACCTCCGGTAAGATGAGGCCATGATATTAGTAGGAAACAATGGAAAGAAAGTGTGAGGAAAGAATTAAGAAAAATAGTTACGGGGTTAGACTAATAGAGGGTTTACTTACTGAGCATTATTTTGTGCTCACCCCGTCATTTTCCTTTGTGGATGCAGGATCTAGGTGATGATGCAGTCGGAGGGGCGTCGGCAAGCGAGGAGCAATAGTTCACTGTTTCCCCTGTTTTTGTCTTTTTAAATGGCATTTTGTAAATCATGCTCTTTGTGTATAAAAGACTTAGTACATATAATAAAAAGAAAAGTTTTGGGCCCATTTTCTATATTATTATGCAAGCATTTTACTAGTTTACAGCAGTTGTTACATCGTGCAAGCCTGAAAAGGAGAAAATAGTTAGTAAAAAACAAAAAAATTAAAAAAGAGGAGGAAGAACTCGAAGCAAAACAGAAAAAGCGAGCTACCAATACCTTAGTGACCAAGCTGCATATGCGAGAAATCAGTTCGTGAGGAGGGGCTGACTTGAACAGCTCGTATTACTGCTCAAACACGGTTTCCCTAGCAACATATGCTTCAACGCCCAAGTGCTTAGGGAGCTCGCAGATCAGCTTGTTAATCTCGGCCTCAACTAGCTCCTTCTTGTCATGTCGCCTGGAAGAGCTTCCTCTACTCACTTTTTGCAAGGCGGCCTCAACTGCCAAAGTGGACTTCTTCTTGGCCACACTCTTGATCAAGACCTTTTTCAAGCCACCTGTAGGCTTGGCAACTTTCTTACCTGAGCCTTCCAATTGCTCGAGCATTTTTTTCTTCCCTGAGCCCTCCACTGGCTCGGTGTTTTTCTTCATTGAGCCCTTGTAGAGTCAAGTACATCTTTTTTGGCAACTGCTTTGGAAGTAGTTATGGACTTCTTAGAACTTGGGGCCCCTTCAAGCTCACCACCAGTTCGCTTGGGACCGGTCATGAGGAACCTGCCCCAAACGCTCTTACAAGACCCGTAGGCTGCTTTTTCATCTAGGTTATTAGTTGATTCTTGGCAGCTCCGCGAGCTGCCAACTTCTTCTTCAGATTCTTAGGCTTATCAACTCACATATCTGCAAAAGTAGTAGAGTTATTAGCGACCTAATACAAGAAAGACATAAAAGGTGAGCTTTTGAACAGTTACCTTTCTCAAAGATGGTATAAAACTTGGCAGAATCATTGCAAAAATTGTACGCTTACAAGTGAGAAAGTGTAATAAACTAGGTGACATTGCACTCACAGCGGGAAGCTTGCTAAAACACTAGATCTGCTCTCGATTCTCTACGTTGACAAAATTCAGGTTGACGTTCACTACAAAATAAAGAGTATAGTGCTGGTTTAGCTCGGTTATTTGACTAAAAAGCCTTTAGTTTTGTATTACCAAAACACTTACTAGTATCCAAGGTAAAGGTGCCATTCTCCTTGGCGTGGTAAAAGAAGTACTGAGAGTCCCAATTACCCAACTTTTTTGGGACTTCGACTAAACCATTCAACCTATATAGATGGACAAGCTCGTCCACCGATAGCTCGCCTATTTAAGCTATTTGGTAAGCTATATATAGTCCTACTATGATTATGTATGAATTCCCCGTGAGCTGGAGGGGAGCAATGCCAAATCTCCTCAACACGTAGGCGATGAAAAAGTGAGGTGGGGCAGACATACCGCACTTTAGAAGGATTTCAGAGATCGCCATCCAGGTAGCGGGGGGATCTTTTTGGGAGGCATTTCTCGGAGCCATCAACAGGGGTTGGATTGCATAAATTTCCCTTATGCGACCAATGTCCTCTAGACTAATCAAGGAGCTTGGCTCCTTCCTAAATGTAGGGATTGGTGGGAGCTGATAATCCGTGGATTATACTGTTTTAATTAGACTTTTTAGTCGGATTTCATATACTTTTTAGTTCATTTCGACCTGAATTGCTACTTAATTCTTTATATTTTGTGTTTCAGGCTAAAATGGACATTTAATGCAATTAAGGAGCGAATTGGAGTTTTTTGATTCAGAAGTGAGCGGATCTCAGAAGTTGGGAAAGTTCTGAAGCAGAATGGATGCACGATGAAGCTTGTTCCATGAGAAAAGTATCAAAGATCGAAGATTCAAGCAAAGGAGCAAGTGAAGGGCAATTCTGTAATTTTAGAATTCCACATGAAGGTTCGCCACGATGAAGAGAGTTGCGACGTGGGTTTATTTCACTTTGTTGCCATGGCGAAGATCCTTCTTCGCCGCGACGAAGTCTGGAAATTTAAAAAACGCACAATTTCATTTAGGCGTTTGTTTTTAGGTTTTTGGCTGAGTATAAAAGAGAAACTTAGTCATTTTACAAAAGGAGTTCGGTTTTTCTTAGATTAGTTTTGGGCAAACTTTGATTGCAAAAGATGAAGATTAGAGAATAAACGAGTGGATTCTTCATTTAGGGAGATTTTCTTGTCTTTTCTCTTATTTTCATTATGTTGAACTTCGGATTTTTCATTTCTTTTATTGGTATTGTTGATTTAGTCATGAACGCTATTTTGGGTTAGGGTTTTGATGTAGTTCGGATTCTAATGGGTTAAGTAATTGATGATTATTATTTTCATATGATTTTGCTTAGATTGTGTGATTATTTTGAAATTATTGTTTTTATGTGATGAACATGATGAGATTGAGAAATAATTCATGTTAAGCTTCTTGGGTAATCACCATTGTAGTATTAAATGCTAGAGATAGATTTAAGAATCAATGAAATTAATCTAGGATTCTTGTGCTTAATGAACTTTGAAATATTAATCTTCATTTTGTTGGGTGCAGAAGTTTAATAGGAAAGAGTAAGGAAATATAGCCTGAGAGGGTATATTTTATATTTTAGAGAGTTCGATTTACAATCACTGCATGTGACTTTGAAATTAGTATAATCCTTAGGTTTAACCTAGAGAGTCCGAATGAAGTCAAAACCCTACCCGTTTGTTTTGAATTGATTTTATCCACGTCTTAAATTTTGCTTTCATGAATTAGTTTTGAACAATTAGAAATTTTGTTTTAGTTTTTAAGTTTAATTTGTCTCCCTTCAATCCAAACAACTCGATTGCTCCAACTTTAAAACAGTAGAAAAACTTAGTGCTTAGCCACCAATCCTCGTGGGAACGATACTCACTCATCACTCTATTACTTGTGCGACTAGTATACTTACTACATATTGCATGTTATAGTAGACACGCATCAAGTTTTTGGTGCCGTTACCGGGGATTGAGTTTTGTGTTAACATTAAAATTTTCCAGTGTTAGCTAGATTGGAGTATTATTTTTACTCAATTGTTATTCGTTTTATTTTTGTTACTTTTCTTTGTTTAGTGTGATTTTACTCTTGCTAGTTTTTTGTGTAGTTTATACGAAGAGCAAGATGTCAGCCAGTGGTTCCTGTTGATCCTGAGATTGAAAGAACCACTCGAAGACTGAACAGAGAAAGAAGAGAAAGAGAAGCTCCAGTTGAACCAGAAGAAATAGTTGTAGAGATGGCATAGAACAGAACATTGAGGGAATTCTCTGTTCCCTCAGTTGAAGGCAGTGGGTCGAGCATTACAAGACCAGCTGTCCAAGCCAACACGTTTGAGATAAAGCCAGCAATCATCCAGATGATCCAACAGTCGGTTCAGTTCAGGGGGGATTTGAAGGAAGATCCAAATCTACACATTGCAAATTTCTTAGAGATTTGCGATACTTTCAAGTCTAATGGAGTGTCAGATGATGTAATCAGATTAAGACTATTCCCATTTTCATTGAAGGATAAAGCTAAGGGATGGTTACTGGTACTACCAACCAGAACAATCACCACATGGAATGATTTAGCACAAAATTTTCTGACCAAGTTCTTTCCTCCAGCAAAGTCGACAAAGTTGAGAAATGACATCACGTCATTCATTCAAGAAGAGTCAGAATCTTTGTATGAGGCTTCGGAGACAAAGAGTTACTGAGAAGGTGTCCACATCATGGGTTGCAAGTTTGGATGCAAGTCCAAACATTTTATAATGGATTAATAGTGAATGTGCAAACTATGGTGGATGCAGCCTCGGGAGGAGCATTACAGAATAAGACTCCGGAAGAAGCTCATGAGTTGCTTGAGGTTCTGGCAAGCAACAACTACCAAAGACCTAATGAGAGGGTGCTACCAAAGAAATCTATGGGTCTTCATGAAGTTGATGCCTATACAGCCATTTCAGCCCAATTGACAGCACTTCAGAAATAGTTGGGAAGTATGCAGGTAAATTCCATTCAAGCTCCTCAACCAACTTGTGATTTTTGTGCAGGTAATCACGTGAGCAATGAATGTCAAGTAGGGAACACATTTGCCTCAGCATTGTCATCATCGGAGCAGGTTAACTACTTGGCTGGAAATCAAAGGCAACAGAATAATCCGTACTCCAACACATTTAATCTCGGTTGGAGGAATCACCCAAACTTGTCTTGGGGCAATCAAAACCAACAGAATTAGCAAAACAGTCAATGGAATCAAAGGTTATTGCCAAATAACCAAACAGGGGTGAACAACCAACAAGGGGACCCAAGAGTGACAAAATTGGAGGACGTGTTTGGGAAGTTCATGCAAGAAACCACAGGTTTTATGAATGAGACGAGAACTAATTTTAGAAATCAAGGGGCGTCCATTCGGAACTTGGAGGTACAGATGGGGCAGTTAGCTGAAAAGCTAAATGAGAGACCACAGGGGTCTTTACCAAGCAACACAGTGACTAACCCACCAGAGCAAGTGAACGCAATAACCTTGAGAAGTGGGACAGTCTTAAAAGAGGTGGAAAATCCAAGGAAAGAGAAAACCCTATCAAGGAAAAATGAAGAATCTAATGAGGAAGTTGATGAAGACATCATTGTTGAAGAGAAACCACCTAGCCCTAGGAAAGATGAACAGAAGCGGGAAGAGAGGCAAAAGAAAAGGAAAGAGAAATTGCCATTCCCCGAAATACCCCCAGAGTTGGCACATCACACTCCTCTAGTGCCTTTCCCTCAAAGACTCAGAAAAGAAAATCAGGATAAGCAGTTCATTAAATTTCTTGATGTTTTTAAGAAATTACATATTAACATTCCTTTTGCAGATACATTGCAACAGATGCCGAGCTACGCGAAATTTCTTAAAGAAATTTTATCGAACAAGAGGAAGTTGGATAATGAGAAGCAGTGATGCTTATAGAGGAGTGCAGCGCCATTCTCCAGAAGAAGTTGCCACCGAAACTCAAAGATCCAGGGAGTTTTACTATTCCTTGCACTGTAGGAGATATTACCTTTGATCGAGTTTTATGTGACCTAGGTGCCAGGATTAACCTTATGCCTTTTTTTGTTTTCAAGAAATTAGGAATTGGTGAAGTGAAGCCGACAACCATATGCTTGCAACTTGCGGATAGATCCATAAAGCATCCGAGGGGCATTGTAGAGGATGTGTTCGTTAAGGTGGACAAGTTCATCTTCCCTATAGACTTCTTTGTATTGGATATGGAAGAGGACAAGGAGATTCCTCTTATCTTGGGACGACCATTTCTGGCTACTGGAAGAGCTTTAATCGACGTTCAAGAAGGGAAATTGATCATGAGGATGCAAGATGACGAAGTAACATTTAATGTCCTTGAGTCGATAAGAATCCACCTAAGCAAGAGTCATGTTTAAAAATCGATTTGGTGACCAGTCAAAAATTGAACCATTCCAACTGAATAGTCCTAATGTGGAAATTAAGAGCTGCATTGTCAAACTGAGTCAGTTAGAGAGTGAGGACCATAATGGAAAGGGTTGCACAACATTCCGAGATGAGCCATAGTCGAGATGGTGTTTTCACAAGGAACGGGTCTCTCAGCTCAAAAAGGGTGAGGGCAAGTCAAGAAAACGGAAAGTAGTCGGTGAGAAGAGTCGAGCCACCAAAGTTATAACCAAGGGATGGATGAGTGGCCAAGCTCTCAACAAAGACCCTGTGTGAAAAAGATCATCAACAAATGAAGCTCCAGTGCAAGGGGGATTTCCAAGATGTGATGTAACTGGATAGTCCGGACTGACGTGAAAAATCAAAAGAGTCAAGCTTTCGACTATAAACAAGCGCTCCTTGGGAGGCAACCCAAGTGTTTTCATT